CCTATACGAGAGAGGAATCCCTGGGACCCTGTCGTGAGGGTGAACCCTGCCCAGCCCCCCTCCGTGTCGCGATGCGCTCCCCGCTCCCGTTCCCCTGTGTCCCTGATCGTCCTTACAAGATCCTGCTCGTGCAGGTGGGGACCCTGTCCTTCTCCCACCCCTCGTTTGGCGTGTACGTTGTATTTATTTATTTATTTACTCGCAACGGTCTGTGCGGGCCGACCGCGCCCCCGCCTTGCGCTCGCCCACCTTGCGTGATGGCCCCCTGGAGAGTCCCAACTGGCACTCCGGGCTGCAGTAAGTAGCACGGTGCTGGCGGGCAGTCGGCGCAGCGCCCGCACTCTTGGCAGACAGCCTCCGGCCACCGGCCTCTGCAGGTGTATGTAAAGGACAACGGGTTGTCAAATCACACCCAGGGCCGGGGAGCTAAGAAGCGCACCCAGCGGGCCGGATGGTCGGATGTTTCCCTCTCTTCACCTGGCCGGCCCCTGCCCTGCCCCTACCTACCTACCTAACTGCGTCATGACCAGCCTGCCATGCGTCGCCGGTGCCGCATTCATCGCTGTGCTTCTTTAGCAGGCGGTGGACTGTCGGCTGCGAGGGCGGTCGCATTTGCGCGAGGCGAGGCGAGCATTCAGACGCGTTGCATGCGCCATGCCTCGCGCCAGCGTGTGCGGGAGCTCCTGGCTGAGCGTTGAGTCCAGGCGAGTTGCGCTGGCTACGATCGCTACGCCGAGCCGAGCTGACGCGCCGAGGCGCCGGCCAGTCGTAGCCGTGAGGCATGCCACAGCAGCAGAGGCACCTGCCACCCATTGGGCGGGCAGACAGAAGGCCAGGGCAGCACTGGCAAGTGCAACGCGCCTCATGTCGGAGAGCGACCGTGCCTGGTTCGCCGCTTATGATGTAGAGTTTGTTGTAGAGATTTCACGTTGTAGAGCGCCTCTACATCGCTCTACAACGCACCCGCTTCGTCCCGCGGCGGATGTAGAGCTCTACAGCTCTACAGCACTCCGGAGCGCTCTACATCTCTACAGCTCTACAGCGCTCTACACTCTACATCCTCTACACCCTCCCTCAGCTGCAATCTCAGTGTCCCAGCCATAGTACTTAGTAGATGGCTGAAATGGCTGAAATGGCTGTCGCCCAGCCATATAGTACCCAAGATGGCTGCGATGTACTCTAGCCAGCTCAGCCAAGAGGGCTCACCTCGAGGCAGGCGGTATGGCTGCGGTAGTGCGTCTCCAGCCATGTCTACCAAGGATGGCTGCCCTGTGTGTATTGCAGCCATTAGACTGGAGGATGTGGCCGCACTGCAGCTAGCTCAGCCATGCTTAGGTAAGATGGCTTAGGTAAGATGGCTGTGAAGGAATCCACCTCCTTCACCCTACCCTCGCCTTCGCCCCCGCGTAGAGAATGTGGTGTGGTGTGGCGCTGTTCATGATGTTGTGGCTGTCCCCAGCCATCGCCGCCGCCTCGCCGCCTGCCACTTCCGACTGTGTGGGCTTGGTGTGCGTCCTCAAGGCCACCAACTCGACCTGGGCCGGCGGCGGCCTCTCGGCGTCTCTCGCGCTCTTCGACACTGCCCGCCGCTCCGGCTTGGGTTGGGGTTCGAGGGCGTCTCTCCACCTGACGGCCGCGGCGGAGCTCCCGCACGTGGCGGCAGGCGCCCACGCCTTCGAAGGCGACGCCACGTGGGACGAGTACGGGCAAGAATTGTCTATCGACGGCGGCACCTGGCACGCATACGCCTCGGCGTTGTCACCGGCGACGCTCCTGCTGCACCTGCGGCTTCCGCCGGCCGCGTCGGCCGGCTTCCACGCCCTCTCGTGGCAGCGTCCGCTCCCGCGCGGCGAGCTAGCGCGCTTCGCCGAGGCGGCGGCCATGCTGGCGGCGGGAGAGGCGGCGGCGGCTGGTTCGCTCGGCCCTCCCGGTCGCACCGTGCTGCTGCAAGACCTGAGCGGAGGGCTGTGCCTGCTCTCTTCCCCGTCCTCCGCCGACGACGAAGGCGGCGACACCGCCGCCGGACGCGCCTCGGCGCCGACTCTTGGCGATTGCGCTTCGCCTGAGGCGGTGTGGCAGGTCGGCGCCGGCGCTGCAGAGGCGACGCGCGAGCTGCGTGCGGCGGCCGCCTCCGCCGGCGGCGGCGGCGGCGGCGGTGGCGGCTCCGACGTCTGCCTCCGCCGGCCGGCGGGCTCGTCAGGCGCCAAGCCGCTTGCGCTCGGCAAGTGCGGCTCGCTGGGCACGCGCCGCTGGGAGCTGTCGGAAGGGGGGCGGCTCTCGGCGCGTGCGGTCTCGTCCTCGCGGCTGCGCTTCTGCGTGCGCGTCGCTCGGCCGAGCGATGAGGAGGGGGCGAGGGCGTGGGCTGCGTGCGTGGCGCGCCCTGCGTGCGCCGACGCCGGGGAGGTCGGCCTCTGCTGCCCGGACCAGGAGGGGGTGCGGCGGGAGTGCTGCGACGACGCTGCGGCGCCGCCGCTGCCCGCCGCGCTCGAGACGGCTTCGTGTGACGACGAGGCGGCGGCGGCGGTGCTGCGCGTGCTTTCGGCCCCCGGGCTCGCGCCGCGCGCTGCGCTGCACCAGTCCACCTCACAAGCTAGCGGCGCCTCCTCCGCCTCCTCCGCCGCGTCTGCGGCGGGCGGTGCTGGCGCGCTGACCAAGGCGCAGCTTGACTGGCTGAACGGCGCGCTTCTTCCCGAGAGCCGCATGCAGGGGGGCGCCGCCGCCGCCGCCTCCAGCGGCGGTAGAGGCGGCGGCGGAGGTGGTGGAGGAGGTGGAGGGCCTGCGCCGTGGTCCGCGTTTCTCCGCGGCGTCGTTGGCTCGCAGCTCGAGGCGTTGCACGCCGCCGCCGCCGCGGTGCAGAGCGGCTCGCGCACGGTCGGGTCGCTGACGGAGCAGCTCGACGCGCTGACTGAGGAGAGCGCCGGTCTGGGGATCCGGCTGCGTAAATCGGAGGCGCTGCTCGAGGAGGCAACGCGCAACCTGGCCGCGGCGCAGGCCCTCCCCTACCCCACGGTACCCGAACCAACCCTCCCCCACCCCACGTTACCCGAACCAACCCTCCCCTACCCCGGTACCCGAACCAACCCTCCCCTACCCCACGGTACCCGAACCTACCGGCCGCGGCGCAGGCCGAGCTCGCCACCTCCGCGGCCGGCACTGCGGACCTGCAGAGCCAGCTGGCGGCGGCGGGCGCGCGGGAGGATGCGGCGGACGCGCGGGCGGCGGGCGCGAGGGCGGCGGCGGTGTCGGCGGTCTGCGAACGCCGGTGTGGAGACTGCCTCGTTGACGGCCGAGTGTAGGCGCGAGGGCGGTAACGGAGCGGCTGTCTGCGGAGGCGGCCGCCCTCGAGGCTCGCGTGGGGGAGGCGGAGGCGGCGGAGGCGCGAGCGCGCTCAAGGCTCGCTGACGAGCAGGCAGAGTCGTTCTCATCAGACCCCCCCCCCGACGGCGCTAGGGGGCATCGCCTTCCTCCCCCACGCCACGGATGTCAGGCTCGGCCGCCGCGAGGTCCTCCGCCGGCTTGGCTGAGGGTCTCTCTTCGGGTCGCGTATGCCCCAAGAAGGACGCATTACTCAATCTACCTCT